AGAAACTAATTGGCAATGTTTTTAGGTAAAAACCAAACCAAAACAAAGGGCTTTAGTTATTGCAAGGTGTATATCCCAGGATTTTAAGTACTTGACCTAAAAACCATTTTGTGGAAAGCAAGATAAAATTAGTCAAAAAATTGTTGTCATAAAAATGACAGGGAATGGAAAACAGCATTTGGGAATAAAATTGCTCTTTTAAGTCTTTGTGGTCTGCATATGCATGTCATGGAGACATATACAAGAAGTAAAAACATGGAAGTTTCTTGAGGTAGCATGGCACTGTAATCAAACTGCAAGATATTTACTAGTGCAGCTGATTTTGACAGGGGATCACGATATCACAGTGTCTGGCCTACAGTGTGTTTTGTTCTTAATTTTGCTTGGGTTTTTGAGCAATTTTGGAGTTTTCCTATAAAAGAAAACTGTAAGTGTATTTTAGAAGTGTCATGATTACGAAGAGGAATAAATGCTAAAATAGAATTAATGTGCTGTGTGGCATATCTCACGGGGGTGGGGGGTTGGACAGGGAAGAACAAACTGTGAGAAGATAAATAATTGACTCAGAAATTGAGCATTCAAGCTCATGAGTATTGGTGCTAGTGTACTTCCTTTGTGGACCTTCTCCTCATGAGAGGTATGTGGGCCCAGGTTTGTTAGCTGTAACTGTAACTGAAGGGTTGGCATTCAGGGCTCGTAGTGATAGCTAGCTGTGCCCACTGGCTAGGTAGCTACAGATACTCGGCAAGGATCATGCTGTGCTTTCAGTTCAGTCTGGGTGGCTGTGTGGGCAGGAGGCAGAGAGCTGCAGGTCCTGAAATGACCCCAGGTCTGTGGTGATGCTGGTGGTGCAGCAGCAGGGGCAAGCTTACAGGCATCCTGTTTCCCTGTGCACTTTGTTGCAGCTGGCTGTCCTTGGAGCTGCAGTGTAGGGATGCATAAATTTTGGTGGTGCACAAATAATGATAAAAACATACAGGGAACATGTGTATTAAGATAGTTTTGTGAAAAACACTCTGGTGTAGTGTATAAGATGTTGGTTGTTCTGTTCAAAAATAATTTTTCAGATACAGCTAGTCTAAACAAGAGTCTTCTGAACACACTGCTGTTATTCAGTTTATGTGTATGTGTGAACTTTGTTTCTTCTGCCCTGTCCATCTAACAGTTTTCCTCAGTCTTAAGGGTGGTTTCTTTTTTTGTATGTTGGACAAAAGCAACTGAGTGTTTACACTACACAAACCTTCATCTTACAAGACGAATTAGTTCTGTGTTCAGAAGACCCCGGAGAGCGGAGCAATGAGCTGACATAGCAGCACATATAGCACGTCCTCTCCTGACCCTCTCCCCTGGCCCCAAACGTGCCTGGCAAATGGAGGCTTGGCGCTCTGCCACAGCTCATTACGCAAGGCTTTCTGTGTCCTACTTATCTGAACAAAGGCTGCTCTGAGGAACATAGGCATCACACCTAGGTCACATAGGCAGAAAAAGCCATCTCCTGACAGAATTTTACTGAGTCATGATGGAGCTTTCCTTCATGGTAAGTCTGTGAGAATTGTCAGGTTTCGAATGATGGCTTGCTCTATTTCCAAAATAAATGCAGAACTGCGAGTTATTAGTATTAAACTTGCTAACATCATCCTAGAGAGGAGGAGGGAGTAGAATCACTGTTTTGAGGTCTCAGGCTTGGATGTAAATAGAGATAGTACTGAAAATCTTACACTAAGCAGAAAACAGGTCCTTTTGTGTTGGTCATTTATTGATTAAAGAAACAACAAAAATCTGGGTACTTGCATCTTAAATTGTAAAGGACTCATTTGTTAGAAGAATTGCTGTTTAATTCTAGTAGTGAAAACACATTAAGTTACCTAAATTGGTGTTGGATTACTATTACTTTACTACCAGACCTAATGTTTTCATCGTTTCTGTTTATATGCAATCCACTGTACTTCTGATCCTTGGGAAGGTTACCTTTGAAATTGCTTCCACTATCAGAGGCAAGTCAAGGACTCCAGAGGAGACAAAATAGGCTGTAGCTAACTTAGCTAATTGTGCAATTACAGATGGCTACAAATCAAGGTATATTATGACTTGAGCTGCAGCTCTTAAAGAGAGCCTGTTACTTTTTAACATTCAGAACACTGCCTTCTAGGTAAATCCTCTTAGTCGGGATTTGAATTTCTATAGACTTGGTGTCTGCCTTGAGGTATTGTATGTCGTCTCTGAACTGCAGCGGCCTCTCCTGCATAATAACTATTTCACACAGCAGTAGCCAGCTTCAGTACTGCAATATTTGAGAGAGGTGCAGATGTTTGCTAGCTGCTCCTGTTTTTGTTGCAGAAATGGAAGTTGGAAATTATTACTATTTTTTAAATTTTTTAATTCTGGTAATTGTGATTAGTGGATTTGCTTTTGGCTGATGAGTTCTATGTGTTAGAATGCATGCATGCTTTTTTTTTTTGTCCGATTTTGAGTACTTAATGGGGAGCTATGTATTATTTATCTGGCAAGAGATGTAGGTTTGCTTGCGTAACTGCATTTCAAAGGTTCTTGGTTTGAAAGGTTCTGGGTTTTCTGTGTATTGCTTTGTGATAATTTTTTAGTGCAAATGGTTTATTTTGCTGTAGTTAAAGGGCTTTGGTTTTCCATTTCTTTACTGTGTGTAGCTTAGTGAACAGTGTAAGCAGAAATTTACTACACTTGGAAAATTGTCATAATGTGGATTTTGAAATTTAAGAGTCAGTTAATGTAGCAGTAGGAATTTAAATTTTTAGGAGGCATTGCGGAGCATATTCCTGCTTTTTTTTACTGTGCAGCACTGATACTGGAATATTTAAATATTAACATGCTTAGATTTTCTTATGGTTGCCTGCTTTCTCTCAGTGAGTCTCACTGCAGTAACCCTTCTGAAAAGCTACTACAGAATAGTTGTCAGTCGTTTCTCTTTAGATCTGCTTATTTTTTATAATAGCATTGCTAGGTGAGAGCAAATCTGTTCTTTCTGCTTTATCTTTTCATGTTAATTGTTAGTGACAGTGCAAGATGACGCATCTGTGCAAAATGGATTTTGTACTGTTTAGATCAGTATATTCAATGTACAGGCCAATGTATATAGGACTGTTCCTTTTTTTCCTTGGTCAGGCAAAATGCAATATAAAGTAGAGCATTTTATTTTTATTTAGCCTTTTTTTTTCTTAAGTTGCCTGCTTAGTAGAATCACTATGGTAACCGACTAAAAGATGTCTCTGAGGCACACAACCTGCATTGCAATGTAAGTGAGGGGAGATTTAAAGTTCCCTGGCTGCTGAACATTAGAAAAAGGAACAGGCAAGGCAGAGAAATAAGCTAATATTTAATATTTATGAGCTATTTTTTAATGCTTGCTCTAAGGTTAAAAAGTTATTTTACAAGTAATGTATATGTAAGGTCATTGTTTTCTGTGCTCTCTTCTGGGAACGATATTGCTAAAGGTTCATTAAAAATCATAAATTTGTGTTATCATTCAACTTGAGGTTTTTTTCATTTTTAAAAGGCTGCTATATGGTACAAATTATGTAGATAGAAGTTAGTGAGGAGGTAAGCTGTGTCACTGCATCGCAGAGCTTATGAGAGCATCAGCATTCTTTTTTTTTATGCTTTGTTGTGGATAATATATTATTTTTCTAATAATCTTCTGTTAAAAATGTTTATTTAGAAATCTGGTGGTCTGTTAGTGTTCTTATAAATCTTTGAGATGTGTATTATATAGATGTGCTATACAGAAGGTGGTATTAGGACCATGAGGAAAGTTATGTAGTATCTGGTAGCTCTGAGTATGGCAATACTGAAAGCGAGTTGCACATTCATCCATCAATAAGGATTTTTTTTTCTTTCCAGCTACACTAATAAGCTCCTGATGTCAGGTAGTTTGCCATCCTGAACAGCTGGAGCTAAATTGTAATTTTTGTGCTAGCAAAATAAAATATTCTGAAGCATCAGTGAAATTTTGTGGAATAGGAGCTATCTGAAACTATATTTTGTAGGTAACTCTATTAACAATAGTATTTTATATGCTCTTAGGTTCCTGTATTCCTAGACTTTATTATCTATTGAATTAATATGTTAATCCAAATTCTACACTGTGTAGGAATATTGTATAATGTTTACGGAGAAGTTCGGAAGCACTTGAGTTTTTATGCCTGTTTCATTCATTTTAACACACTTGGTTGCCTTCAAACTGTAAATAGTGGTCACTGAGTTAGCGTGACACTTGTAAAATGATTGCTCACATCCAGGCTTTCTGGCAGACAAACTTAATTGCTTTGCTTGCCTGACCTTCTTTCTAGATGAGTGAAATGCTTGGCTCAGAACTTCCGAATGCGAATGCAAAGACGTTTTAAAAGATATTTTTCCTATCTCTTCAGGAAGAGTGGTTAAAAATAAACAAGCTTTAATGTTTAACTGAAGTTATCTTAATACCTGGAGGAGAGGATGTAAGAACTTATGAACTCCCTATGAACTCGTGTTTTAATGTAAAGGTATTAATTTTAAGTGCCTTTTGACAAGAGATCAATTTTTAAAAAAGACTTCAAATCACTCAATTTGAAGGAAGAGTATTCTGCTTTTTCTAGATCGACAGAATGAGAGCTTTGACATTTATCTCCATGAGGCTTTGAGCTGGTATGAGTACATTCCTAGTTGAGCATTCTGAGGAAAACTTGATCTTCCAATTTTGACCATTCATTTGATGCAATCATTCTTCCAGATGCTATCTCCATTGTTTTGTTAAGATGTCTGTTACTATTACTGGGAGCATTGCTACATTTGCAATAAAAAAAAATAAAAAAAAAAACAACTTTCCTCTAGTAAACAGTTGGACAGAAATTGAAGATTGCTTTCCCTAAGACAAACGGTAAAATGCAGTATTCATTTTCTAGTACAGAATTGATTTATTTTTAGGAGTTTGCCAAAGTACTGGTATTATGTTATTTGAAAAACAAATCGTTCTTTTTTTTTTTTTTCAGCATTTTCAGTTAGCTTTGATTGACTGCAATCCCTGCACTTTGTCTAACGCTGAAAGTAAGTAACATATATTTCCATTTATTTTGTTGTAGATTTTTTTTTAAGTCTTATGCTTACAACTGTATCAATTTTTAATGAACCAATCCCTCAAAGTCAAAAGAATCAGTACTGAAAGAGGGAGACTGCAAAACCTGTCGCCATCTGTCAGTGGAGACAGATATTCCAGTGGAATTGTACATTATTTTAGTAAATGGAATAAGTAAAAATGGAGACTTAGCTTATTAATTGCTCTGGAGACTTGAGTTCTGGAAGAAACATACTATTTGACTGCTCATTCATGTATTTATTCATAAACATAGTGCTTGTGCCATGGCACACATTTAATAGTAATTATTTAACACTTTATGGCATCTTGATAATGTAATTTTTCAGTGATCATTTTAATGCTATTTAAACTTATAAACCTAAAATTTAGCATCAGTCTTATGCTGTTGAAGTAAGAAAAAGTACGAAGTGTCATTTGATTGTTTATTTTATTAGGTGCCAACTGTAGATTCGTCTGTACTTGAACACTTTAATCTTTCAGTGTAGTATGATCTGTTATATGCAGTATATTACTGTAGGCTGTTACAGAGCATCCTGTAGGTGCTTATTGGTAGTTAGTGGAAGTGTATGCAAGATTAAGCATATGTTCTTGCATGTTTTGAAGTCTGTAAGACTCAAAAAGCAGACAGTTGTGAAGGAAATTACTCCCTTCGTTTTTAAGGTACCTTCATGCTGCTATTGGTGTTGAGCTTGTTACCTCCTGAGTCTGACTTAGAAGCATTGGATAAAGTTTTTAAAAGCATCTTTTTAATTTCTGTAATTCAGAGCCGGATGGAATTGTGACTATTCTGTCAGCAAAAGTAATGAGAAGGGGGTTTGTTTACATGGGTGAAACTGCTGGCTGTATTGGTATCAAGGAACCAGCTATGCTACAAGGTCTTTTCCAATGCTATGTCACTTATCAGGAACAGGCACAGATAATTTTGTAAAATAATTTACAGAATTCTTCCCAAGTCAAAGTGCTTTTATTGTTTTCTACCAGATATGTGACTCTTTATTCTATTTCACGTTTATCGGTTTTCACTGTATCTCTGCATTTTTGTAAGGTTTCCCTAACCCATCCCCCACAGTCAGCTCTGCCCCCAGATTTATGTAGCAGTGTGGCCCCTTGTAAGGGCTTCATTGCCCCATGGCCTTGGGCACGGTGCCTGACAAACCCAAAAGAAGAGAGTGAATAGGAATGAGAGATAACTTTGTCAGGTTCTCAGGTACTGATTAGCAGAAGGAGAACCGTGGGCTCTGACCCAGGGTGTCAGGTACCATCACAGAAATGCTGGAGATTTCCTTAATCCTACCCCTTGCATTTCTAAAGGCTGGGTGAGTAATGGCATTACAGTGAGTGTCTTTCTAGCAGAAATGTTTGAGTACTAAGCATGTCTTCTTTTCTATTTAGGCAGTCTCTAATGTGATGCCTTTAATTCTTTTCCCTGCAAGGCATGGCTTTGTTTTGTAGCTTCACACTGAAGGGGTTTTGCTATGAGGGGAAAAAAATAAAGGAGAGATTTTTTAGGTAATGAACTCCCAAAACTAAAGCAGAGGTTTTATTTTGTCAGTGCAGTGTGAAGTTTGGCAATATGGTAAAAAAAAATGAGAGTGTTTTGTGCCCTTTAGCAAGGAATACTAAAAGTTTATTAAAATTTTAGATGATGCATTTCATTATGACCTGAAGTGCACTAGGCTACCTTCTTTATAGGGAAGGACAAAGCAAATGCACAAGGGGAGCTTTTCCCCTCCCTTATGACCCTGAGAGAAACCCTGGAACTCCAAATTACCTGTGTAAAGCTCTGTGTCACACTATTCTGTAGCTTCAAGAGGAAGAAATCTCTGTAATTGACATAAAATGAGCTTGGCTCAAATACAGATATTTTCTTACTTCTAGTCCTCAGGAACATTGGGCAGAAGTCTGTCTCGAAGGAATTTTTCTTTCCTTATCAAGTCAGAATAAGGATTACATTAATCTCAACTAGTTTTAGCTATCTTGCAGTTGATGGCTAGTCTAGGTTAGCAGTTCCCAAGTCGTAGAGATCAGGCACTCCACCTTTTCTTTAATGGTTTGAGCAGCATGAGGATAATTTTCCCTATGCCTTTACTCTTGTACAACTTTCATTTTCTTTCTCCAGCCAGCAATTTTCTTGCTTCCAAGAGATGCTAGTAGTATTACGGCATTCTGTGCCATTTGTATGAGGAATTTGAGATGTTTTACAATAATGATCAGAATACCATCTGTAATTAACGTTTTTAGTTCGGTTCAACAGGGGAAAGACAATTCCTAAAAAGGAAAAAAAACCACCTAAATTTCACTTCCTTTGTAAAGCTGGCAGTGTATAATGTAGTTTTCTACTCTGTAACCCACCCGGTCTGTCCCTTGGTAGTTGAATGAAAATAAAAAAACAAGTCTTTATTTCTAACTCAGTTATGTACAGAAAATAGTACTGCATATTCTCTTGTTGTGTATCTCTGCTTAAAGAGATTTTATTGCTGAGTTTACTAAAAGGTTAATGGACTCTGCATTTCAGAACACAAAATCCATGGACTGCCTTTCTGCAATATCTGTTTATAGTCTGAATGCTTTGTTAGGATGTGTATTCATTATCTGTCAGTTCTGTTATATTAAGTGTAAAATATCAATGTAAGCAAATGCGCTTTTTTGTATCTTCAGAATGTGATTTATCTTGGTTTTGCATTGATAAATTTGAAACACTGTTTATCCCTCACTTGAAAAAAACATATTGTAATTTTTGTCATTCATTAAAACAAACAATTTTGTTTTTCCCACTCTTACAGTTCAGTTTCACATTGCCCACTTATATGAAATCCAGGTAAGCGTTAAGCTCCCTTTTATAAAGTGTGATTTGAATTTCTAAATATATGATATAATCAATCTGTGGAATTCAGATTATCGATGCTTTTGTAAAGTTAGGCTTAAGTCTCAAATAGCTGGAGAAACTTTATTTGCTTTTGCTAAATTAAAAATATTTAGTATGTCAACTGCCATGCTATAAAATGGAGCAGGTATTTTAATAAACTTCAATATTTACTAGTCTCCCAAGTTGAGTGCAAAAAAACCCTAATTTTTAGTAAAATTCTTTTATGAGATTATAGCTATATTTAAAAAGCTATATATAAATATAAAAATAAGTAGTTCCTTTATATATATTCATATTGTTTCTCATACAAACACACACATACAATGGAATCTAGTTAGTTGCCCAGGTGCCTTTTAAGTATATTTGACATGAAATTTTCAAATTTAACTGGACGTATGTGACAGAAACATTTGAGATCTGAGGTCAACAGCACATAAAGCTGTATTATTAATTGTATATAAAATCCTACCAGGGAGTTTTTTAGGTGAATCTTTTAGGAAATTACAGAGCACTTACTGAGCTTCCAGAATATAAGTAAATTAAAACCAAGTAGCTACTGAAATAGCTATTGTATGTGTGTAATTTGACTGACTGATCAGATAATGTAGATTGTATGCCCTTTTATTGTGTTTATAGGTATTATACGACTAAGCAAGGGGTATGACATGGAAACAAAAACTGTTGTAATTAAAATAGATGACAGACATAAACTACATTTTCAGTCAGTTGAAAAGGAGCTTGATAAAGTAGGTGCTGTCTTTTGATGGCACAGTGAAAAATGACTTTAGGTGTTTATGTATAAAGAAAAGATATAAATTTGATAAACAAGATATTTTTCTTTTGAATGGTTTTGGTACAAAGCTATATGATAAGACAGAAATCCCCTGTCCCAAAACACCATTAAGAAACTTCATGAACTGTTGTGGTTCTTACCTGGCCACCATCCAGATTTCATTCTGAGCACTGGAGCACATCTGACACATTTATATAACAAAGGATCCTCAACACATTAGTTCTTTTGATCTGCTAAAGTGAAACAGAAAGTTAGAATGTATAGGGTCACCATGCCAGGTGCCTTGTATAATTGTGTGACCGATATTGCAAGTGCTTAGGATATGCTTTCTGACTGACAATCGTAGGCAGCAGGAACTTTATTTTAATTCAAATCAAAGAGAACAAGTTTCCATGCGTTCTGCTATTAGGCCTGGTTTGTCTCACAGCTCTGGTTGGGAGAGGTATCTTTTTTGCTGGAATTTGAGAAACTTGGAACCACAAAGTCTTGACTTCATTCTGGATATTACCTCTGACACAACGAAGAGATGTTTCTGGAGGCATGCTGGTTGCTTGGTTTATTTTACAGGACACGGTGCTACAGTTTTCTAAACCCCTCTATATATTTTAAAATTATCTACTCTCTAATATTTAATAAAAAAGTTAATTCATTCCTTAATTATGTACCTTCACAGGACTGGAGTTTAAATGGTGGGTTGCCAGCCTCTGAATGAGAGAATAACCCAGTGCTGATAAGAGTTAGCAGTGGTTTTTTCATGGTATTTAATGCTAGTTTCTTTTATTTAATCTGTGGCAGTGTGAGTACCTCTAGCTATTTAGGGTGGTACCTTATATGGTCTCTAAAGAAAGATGTTGGATTGGGTTCCCCTCCCCCTTCTCATTTCTAAGACCATTCATGATGCAGCCAATATCAAGGACTTTGTATCTTGGGAATTTAACACATTAAATAAAAACATATGTAAACATTATGACAGTTTTCTGTGATATTTTGAGGCATACATGTAGACAGATTTCTAAAGGGTAAATAATGCAACAAATAATAAAAGCAAAAAATATTCTAGATCTGGAAAACATGCCCTATTTCAACAGGTCTTTCTGGATCCTCACAGGTGTCTAAACATCTCTTTCAAATTGGGAGTATTAGGCACTAATATTTACCTGTATGACATCCGGATTGCTCCCTCTGTTGTCATGCTATAGAGTGAACTTCTGTTCATTTGCGTATCCTTCATAGTCATAAACTACAAATTTTGTTCCCAATGCTAAATTTAATTTTTTTCCTAATTGTTTTTCTTCTGCTGGCCATGGATATTTTATTTATTTATATTATTTGTTTTCTTACCAGTTGTCTGCATTTCATAACACGAATGAAAAATCTTTTCTGACAACTTCCCCTTGTTCCAATTTGAAAGTAATTTCTTTTTTTTTCCTGACTAGAATAAGTTTTTAAAAACAACAGAGTTGTCTTTTGTGATTGTGAGATCTCAAGAACCTAATAACATTTTTGACTTCTAATAGTTTTTATATTGTTTAGAGTCTTCTTCCCAGTTGTCCCTTTTAAAACACCAGTAGTTAGTACTGTGTACTCTTTGCATAAAATAAATGTAACGTAAGTCATGATCATTTGCATTTACATGGCCCCATTTATTTTGGTATGTTCTTCATCTGTTTGCCAGAATGAAGACTAATGTTAAATCGTCTGAAAGCATATTTTTTTTTTTTAATTGTATAGATTTTTTTTGGGGGGGGAAAAAGTACTCTTACTAACAGACCTCAGCATGTATGTCTTCTGGACTTTTGTGGGAGAAGGAGGAACAGAAGAATTAGACATTTTAAATACATTCAATGTTAAACAATTTTTGTTAGGATAGTAATGCAAGGATAAAAGATGACACCACAAAAAAAATTAATCTATTGAGAAGTCTTAACCTTTAATATATACAAAATAGCTTATACTGTTTAAGAAGTCAACTGCAGTCCTAACCTGGAAATGTGTTTTCTATATCAAGACCTCTTCATATAGGGAGTTAAGAATTGAATGTTTCCATGCTTTAAGCACAGTTAACTATATAGCAAATAATAAGATGGCATACATACCTTCATTCTCTAAGTATAATCCATGGATATGATATGTTTTATATGGTGGGACTCTTGCCAGGACAAATATACGTTGAAAAGGCAGTTCAAATATACCAAAGGAAGGAGAGAAGCAAAATTATACCAGCCACCAATTATTGATTATCTTCATTTCTGTCACAAATTTCCTGGGAGGAATTTATATAGGGTTTTTTCAGCAGTAGATTCACATTCCAGCATTTCCCTTAAAGGCAGTATATTAATTTTAACATAAGAAGCATAATGTATATATGAGGAGTTGACTAAATTTAATAATTTGCAAATTCCCTCAACTATTTTAAGTAGTCAATTTATATTAAATACTATATTTATGAAAGTTATCCTCTTACCATATATTTACATCAGTCATTAAAGCTTTCATATGCACTGTATGCAAAAAAAAAAGTATTTTTTGTCAATGTGTTTGTGTGCTGTCAGTGCTGTGAAATCGTTGCTATTGGTGATCTGTTGTAAGCTTTATGATTAATCCATTTACTTTTTTCCTTTTGCAGAGAAAGTATCACTCTGCAAAGGAAGCTTATGAACAGCTTTTGCAGATCGAAAACCTTCCTGCACAAGTAAAAGCAACTGTCTTACAGCAGTTAGGTATGTAAAAATAACTTTTATTTTTCTATGTGTTTCTTTTTCCCATCTTCACCTTCAACAGTGTTTTTTTAAGGCTCCATTTCCAAAGTGAGTCTTAGACACTGAATATGATACGTGATATTATCACCCAAAATAGAATGCGTAAAAGTAGATAAGTAAATAAGAGAGGAGGAAAAGATTTTAATTGAACTTTAAAAATTAAAAAGCTCTTAGACTTGCTACAGTATATGTATTACAGGTTTTGGGCAATGAGGGGATGGTTTTCAGAGGAGGAGTGAAGCAGTTAAAAGTTCTGTATTCTCTGCTCTGCTTCTGAGAACATCGCTTGAATAGCCAGGCTAAATGCACTAAACCAAAATACTCTGTTGCAGAATAGAAGAATGTGGCAAACTAAAAAAATCACCTTTTTTTTTTCTATTTAATTGTAGCACGTAATGAAAACCTATTTCTGTAACTAAAACATTTATCATCAGATCCCATAAAAGAAAACACATAAAAAGAGAAAAAGTGTTATTTTAAAAAAATTGTCATCTTCCATATTTATAGAAAGCTGATAAATCGTTTTTAGACCAAGATGGGTAATGGGAGGGGTAGAATAAATTACTTTTCCTCCTATATGTCTTATAAAAGTATCTCCAGAATATTTTATTAAAATCGTTCAACCCAGTGCAAAACTTCTTCATTTACTTTCTCCATGTTCTTCATCTACTTTATTATCCTAAATATTAATTTAACCTGCTTATGCCCATTTTTTTTTTCCCTTCATGTAGTGGTCATTTAATTCAAATTAGTAACTGGCACTAAGTTATGGCCACAATGCTTTCTTTATTTTGTAATTCAAGTGGTGTGTGGATTTGGAGTGGGCTAATTTGTTTAGCTTTTGATTCTTCTGTCTGGAATCACAAATTAAACTCATAGAGGAGTTCACCGCAGGACTTGAAGTGTTGATGTTTTGCTGTCATACGACAGTGTTACTTATATTTTAGTAACCCCTTTGAATTATTTTAACTTGATATTATCCCATCTAGTACAAATTGTCAGCATTTCATCCAGAAAGCCTATATATATATATATATATGATCAATGGAAGACAGGCTTCCCAAAATAGCTGACCAACACTTTTTCAACTCCATTTGATGTATGTTGCCACATTAGGAGCAAAGGCTCATGGTTGTATTAATAAAATCCTACCACAGGTGTCTGTGCTAGCAATAAGAGCAATGACTTTGATAATTGTCTGCCATCTGAAAACTGGATTAATTCCCTTTGTTCGATCAGCGTAGGTCACTTCATTTTGTAGTGTGAGTAGCCTCTATGTGGAGAAAGGGACAGAGGGGTCTTAACCACAAAATTCAAGGAATAATACCATTTCTTTTGCTCTTCGCTGTTAACAGTACACCCTTTTGAGAGTGCAGTGGCTCTCCATACCCCAGCAAAAGAAAGTCGAGCAGGGGAGGCAGGTGACCGTCGTGGCTGTGCAAGGACCTGCAGCTTAAACTGAGGGAAAAGAGGGAAATGTACAGGAAGTGGAAGCAGGGTTGTGTATCCTGGGAGGACTACAGGGCTGTTGTCCGTGTGTGCAGAGATAGGATTAGGAAAGCCAAGGCGCAGATGGAGCTGAACTTGGCGAGGGATGTGAAAGATAACAAGAAGGGGTTCTACAGGTACTTAGGCGGGAGGAGACAGGCCAAGGAGAGTGTTCCCTGCATATGGTGGGGGGGTTGAAACTAGATGATCACTATGGTCCTTTTCAACCCAGGCCATTCTATGATTCTATGAACAGTGCTATTTATCAGAGTATGGTGTTTATCGCAGATACAGTCTCCAGCAGCTAGTAATAAAAACACCACCTCAGGAAACATAGTCTGGATGGTGCACTACTGCTTAGAAATACAAGTATACTTTGACTGGGTTTTCTCAGCAGCATTCTGGCAGATATGCAGGTATTTTCTATTATTTTTTCTATGTTTTGGTTTGGTTTAGGGTTTTTTGTGTTTGGTTTTTTGGGTTTTTTGCTTTTTTTTCTTCCCCTTCAACAGAAAAATTGTTTTGGCATGAAAATACCCTTTATTTATTTTCCTTAGCTGGTTAATGTTTATTGAGCCAGAGTTGACATTTAGTTAAGTTCAGATGTCTTGTGAGAGAATTATTAGAATCTTTGCTCTTGTTGCGAATTTCCAAAGCAGATCACTGTGGAGGAGAACCCTTTAATTCTCAAATAAATACGTATCCATTTGAGCTGATGCATGCTGACTAATTTGGTAGATGTAACAGTAAGATCTGTACAGTTCGATACAGCAGTTTGTTTCTTCTTTTTTGCCATGTAATTTGCTTTCCAAACAATAATTCTTTTCACTGCTTTGCCTAAAATTACATTAAATTAGTGAGACTGAAGATCAAATCTGTCCCTGTATTCTTTCTTCAATTATACTCACCTTTTCTGTAAGGAAGAGTGTAAGAATAACATAGACATCTGCTTAGAGGTTCTCAAACCACTCTCCCAATGATTTTTCAGCTAGGGGCATTCCTAGGTGGTGTCCACATAACTGGATTAGATGTATGAGATGCTAAAATGGGGAAGAGGGTAATCTTGTCAGAGCCTGAGATGATGATGTTTGTTTTGGAGAAAGCAATTGCCTCAAGTTCAGCATGAGAGCCACTGATGAACATAAAAAAACCCTGCAGCATGAACCGGGCTAACATATCCTCTTGCTGTGGTGACACAAGGATTTGTTAGAAGATAGATTGTGAAGACCCAGAAAGAAGCATGGATTATTTGTGAAGTATGGACAAAATCTGCATTTTTGTTTATTAATATTAAAGATGTCCCAAGAGTGGAAGAATATTCAGTATTGTAGTTGGGAGTTTGAGTTAGGTCTTGCAAATGGGAAACCGCACAACTTACCAGGCTTTTTGCATCGCCTTCTTTCTGTAGGCTCTTCATTTTATGCATGAGGAGAAGAGAGATCCAGTTTCCTTTACCTGTGCTATTCTAGTAGAAAACTTATGTTTGTTCTCCTTCACCTTCTCTCTTGCTTTCTGCCTTGTTTGCTTCCCTGTGCAGGAAGATAAAATCAGGAAGCAACCCTTGTTTCGGCAGTGAAACTAGATAGGGATTGCTAGTTCTTGTTTCTGTCTCCTAGAAATAGATTATTTCTTTTTATCAGTGAACCTCAGTAAAGATCTCCTGAAGATACGTGGTGTTATCTTTCAATCTGGCAAGGTTCTGATGAAACAGAAAATAGGCATGACCACACAATGTTTCCAAAGAGTCAGGAAATCGCTTAATGTCTTTTTTTTACCCTTGTTTATAATCCCTGAACTATTACATTTATCTCAGGCTTTGCCTGACACTGCACCTGATACATTTATCCTTAGTGTACAGTTATGCAGCGGCATTCTGATAAGCACCCTCACGTAAACCCTTTTTTCTTAAAGCATGGGTATTTTCTGTGTGTTTAAGAACTTCAGTGGCTTGGGATTTGAATCCAAAATCATTGCTTGTTTTCAAAGTGCATTGGAGAAAGCTGTGTATATTATACATCTCTGCAAAAATTATTGGGTTTTTTCCTTCTCCCCCTGGCTCCCAGTCGGTAGGGTTTTGATTTGATCCATCTTCAGACAAGAGAAAGTACTTTTTTTTTTTTTTTTTTTTTTTTTTTTTTTTTTTTTTTTTTTTTTTCAGCACTGTAACCAATTGCCTCCTAACTGGACATTTCTTGCAGTCCATGAAATATTCAGACTTCTGCTTCTGACCACAGTTTCCAAGTGATACTCCTTAAAACACCTCAGGGAAATGTTGTTCAATAGATATGATTTCTTTTAATTGCCTTTTTTAAAGCTTAGAAGTTTGCCTTCCATTTGTAAAAATGTCGCTGTGACTGTGTAACAAACTATAAGCCCATGGAATAAAATATGAGCTGTATAGAACAGGTAGAATAAAATATTTAAGGTATAGTCTAATTACAGATAGTGAAGTAAGGTTGCAAATACTCATCAGTTCAGTTCTCAGCCTTGCCTACTTGGTCTAGCATTTCAGATGACATCTGAATTTGATCTGAATCTTTTGAGTGGTATTATGGGTTCATGTAGTTAGACTGTATCAAAAAGGATAAGCTTAGGGTGCTGAAGTTTAGCTGATGGAGGTTTTAAATGGACATTTAGTGTAGATGTGTGTACAGCTCTGTAGGTAGATGAAAGTTTATACAAACCTTGGATATTTTATGAAATTGGTATCATAGTGTTCCACAAGGGACTGTTTATGGGCAGGCCTCTATGAAAACAGAGGGACAATCCATTGTCACATCTTACGTTTTATAAATGTTGTCTGAAAAACAGGGGATTGTTAAGACAAATACATGGAGATTAAGCAAGCAGCAAAAAATCACTGACCAGTGTGGTATGTAGTTATTTCAGCAAGCCAGCTGCCTGTTACAAAGGATTTCCTTGTACTCATCATGTGAATGGCAGTGTGATGGTTTTGTGGCTGCTTAAAGGAATTCCATCTAAGCATAGAGGCAGATGAGGAGCAGCTTGAGATGATGATGAAGGTGCTTTATTTGAAATGGTAACCAAGCCTCGCATCAGTGCTAGAGCAGAGATGCGTTTTAATAGCATGTAAAAGATTATATGGGAGCAGGGATTGTGGGATGACCTTTAAAGTGGGGATGAATAATTTGTTTAATGTAATGAAAGAAAAAAAGGCATTTGAAGGAATATGATGTGTGGTTAGATGAGGAAATACAATTTTTTTTCCAGCGGAATTTGTTACGTAGATGAGAGGCGATTGCATTTGTCAAGGTGAACAGAAAGGATGTTGTAGCGGTGAAGATGAAATGACAGTGTAAGAAAGATCGAAGTGTAGATGCAAAAATTCTTAGCAATGTGCTGTTGGAGAGTTGCCTAGATGTAGTTATGGGATAGATATGAGTATTTAGAAGCAAAGGAGTAAACTGAACATAATGTACAGATACTTGATGTGCCTGAGAGGGGGAATGGTGTCATTTTTCACAATGACAGGGAAGGTATCTGTGCTCAGAGGAGGAAAGAGTTGACATTTTCAGGTTTACTTTTTATAGTAGAAGACTGAGCAGTTCATAAATGTACTACTAACCTCATAGAAAATTACTTAAACCAAAAAAAATGCTTTAAAAGTACTTGAAAGTAGTTTTGACTTATGATCCCTTATTTCCTGTAATTTCAGTATAGAACTTTCAAAGTTTAAAGTTTCATTCATAATATTATATGTAAGTGATATTATTGTTTGATATTCGTATTTTTAACAAGAAACTTAATGCTATGCATATCCTTCTGTGCCAAAGTGTTAAATGGTCTTAGAGAATTTCACTTCTACCATTTATGGATTCTTTTTGTAGGCTGGATGCATCACACCGTGGATCAGCTTGGAGACAAGGCAACCAAGGAAAGCTATGCTATACAGTATCTCCAGAAATCTCTAGAAGCAGATCCAAATTCTGGTCAATCCTGGTATTTCCTTGGAAGGTGAGAAATGACTTTATAGAAACTGTAACTATATTTGTAAATTTTTTGAGGATACTCATTATTGTGAGTATCTCACATTGTTTTTCTTCTTAATATTTTCAGAGGAAAAATGAAGGGAGAGGATGTATATATCCACTGAAGTCTAGTTTTCTGGAAAGTGTATAAAAAGACAAGGTGCTAATGTATTTGGGATGAATATAGATTAGAAGTTGAAATAAAGTATGTTACCAAGTGGTCCTGCTTTTTTTGTAGTTATTATTCAGTCTACACATTTACAGTAATCTGAGTCTGCCCTGCCTCGTTTTACCTGTTCCTTCTCATCTTACCACATCTTCTATTCTCTCTTGTTTGGTTTTTTTTTTCTTTCTTCCTTTTTTGTTTTGGTAAATGCCCTGTAAATGTTACTTTTCTTCATACCTTTTTTCACAATTCTTCCTCTCTTTATTTTCTCAGAACCTCTCTTCTAATCTCAGCCAATTTTTGCACTAAGATACAAGTATTTTCACAGGTATACATCCGTTTCTAAACAGCATATATTGCAACTAAATATTAGGCCAGGATAGCTCAGATTGATCTATTCTGATATCTGTTTGTGTTGTATTAATCCTGTACTATCAGACAGTATTTTTTTACTTGAAAATTAACTTATTCCAAGATGTAAATCATATAAATTTGATTACTTTTCTTGGTCGTCTTTTTAAGAAAATAGAGTACTTCACACAAACCTGCAGTAACGCTTCTGATAATCAGGTTTTGGGGAAAGCTTTGAGGGCAATTCAAGTCCATATGTGAACAGATCACTTCCTTGAGAAATACATTAGAAAGGAATTATGCAAAAATAAAGTTGATATCCTAACCTCAGTATCTTCCAGCTGACTTTCTTGGAGGTTCTGGTCACATACAACTGGAACCTTCTTTTGTTTTTGTCATCCTAATTATATTCCTCCAGCTGTTCCTGTAAGACAGAGCTCTTTGACCAGCTGTGTGCAGGTTAAGGGAGGAACACTGGCACTGAGTGTGAAGGGCAGAGGGCTAGAGCAGGTGTGGAGGGAAAAGGGAATATGGGCCAGGGATCATCTTGCTCATCTTGTCATCCACTGGGTTGAAATACCTTTTTTTTTTTTTTTACACCTCAGTAGTCCCGTTCCATGTGCCTTGAGCTAGTTGAGGTCTTACACAGTAGCAGAACAGAGCCAGGGCTCCACGAAGTATGTGTGTGCAGCTACCGTGCTCTGCTCCTACTGTGCTGTGGCTCTCATGTTAGAGTGAAACCTAGGACCATACAAACAACAGGGAGAAACACAGGAAATGGTGGGGGGGGGGGGGGGCTAAATCTAGTGGAAGCACCTCTTATACTTTACAGGAAGGATGTTTCTGTGCCCCATTCCTTCAGTCCATATGCTTGGCAGGAGAAGAGGAAAGGAACAGGGTTATGGGGTTGTACCTTTGTTCTTCCTCTTTTTCCCTCCTCATGTATTGCCTTGTGTTATTCCTTCCTCTGCTAGTTGTCCAAACTGGATAGCAAGTGGGTTTAAAGCTACCTTTCAAAAATATACCACCATTCTCTTCCCCCCTCACTGAAAAAAATCCATCACCCTTTTTTAAGTTTTGTTGGGTGTGTAATGTTAGTGCTATCCTAATCTGAGTATTTTTATGTATCTGATAAGCAGAATGAAATGTGTCTATTGGAACTTGGGTTAGATTGTGATTAAAGGGATCTTTGGAAACATTGTGTTCAAACTTAATGGGTTTTTTTTAGGCAAAGTACTGCTAGATTTTACTGTATTCCTTTCCTAATTTGTCTCAAGAGCACATAAATGAGTGTAGCATGTTTGACAAACCTTTGCCTATACTGTTCTGCTTGGGTTTTATTTTTTGCCAGAATAAATTTTGTGTTGTTATTTATGTGTTTTGAAAGTTGTCAGTTCTTTTTCCAACAGGGAAACTTATTACAAACAATATAAGAAGCAGAGATATTGTAAATTAAACCAGTAAATATGTATGTATTTTTAATATTGTATTTATTTGAAGCTTTTCATTCCCTGTAGTATAATTGTAGTTCTGTTTAAAGTTCTAGTATTTCTGCTTATAATGCCAGAATACCTTTGAATTTGTATGTGAAAAATATTCAAGTAAGAAATCATGAAAAAATCCAGAAAAGCAATTTTACAAAATTCCATGCTCTATACATGCAGTAAAACTAACTGATTTGTGGTTCATCACTTCAAATCTTCCTAAGATGTGAAAAATGCACATAAAAAGCTTCCCAGGCAATCAGGAACTGTCCTGGTTGAGTTGGTCAATATCTCTTAATAATTCTGAAACACTTCTTGTAGAATATGAAGTTTCATAGCCATTTGTTTGATAGAATAGGTAACTTAATTGTTTCTTTATAATGCTGTCTGTAGGTAAATGTTCCTATTGACTGATAAGTTATCACAAATGAAAGAAATGTAAGTCTTTAAAACACGGTATGACTTCAGTTTTCCTTACAAATGCGGTAAGCTAGGGTTTAAGCAGTTTTGGTGTGCTTTTCAAATAAAAAATCAGTAATACTTGTTGATTAAAACGTTTGAGTCTGCTTATGCCTGGCGTTCAGAGACAGCAAATGTTTTGGATTCATCTAGGCAAGTATGTATTTGCGTGACTTAGCATTTATCAGATCAGTGTTGGTAAGCCTTCCTCAGTGGTTACCTTCTATAAATATTACCAAAGTTCTTTTTTTCTTCTCCCAGGTGCTATTCAAGTATTGGGAAAGTTCAGGATGCCTTTATATCTTATAGGCAATCTATTGATAAATCAGAAGCAAGTGCAGATACATGGTGTTCTATAGGGTAAGAATGATACAGGGTAATACAGTGATATAATTCAATGCTAATATGTGTAAATAAAGAATATCAACTTTTTAACTCCTTTGTGCTCTCAAGGGGACCATTAAGCTTTTTTATTTATACCTTCATGTTGTCAGACTTGTCTGATGTGAAGTTTAAATAATAGATTTCTATTTCCTTTCTCAAATATTTTCAATACCGAATATGCTATGTATATGAGCTTTGCATGTTAAAATTTTGTGTTGTTTATGTTTATTACTGTGCTTTATATAATGGCAAAGTTTATTAAGGGTTTTGAGGGGAATGTGTATATTTGAGTAGTGTGTATTTTGACTTTGTCATTAATTCTCAACTTCACTAATCTTTCTATTCAGTGTGCTGTATCAACAGCAAAATCAGCCTATGGATGCTTTACAGGCCTATATCTGTGCTGTACAATTGGACCATGGCCATGCTGCAGCCTGGATGGACCTAGGTACACTCTATGAGTCCTGCAACCAGCCTCAGGATGCCATTAAATGCTACTTAAATGCAACTAGGAGCAAAAATTGTAGTAATACCTCTGCACTTGCAGCACGGATAAAGTATTTACAGGTAAAACTAAAGTTTTAAGAAGCGGGAAATACTCTTCCAAATACACAACAGAGGGGAGGGGAGAAGTAACACACAAGTTAAGATTGCAATTGTTTGTGATGTGTATAACTTGTTTTCATGTGTATTGTAAGCATATCATAGCCTGTAATATTTTATTTCTTCATTGTTAAGTGAAACTTAATTCCTTATAAACCCTATTTTGCACATTTAATCAAAGCATACTGTTTTACATCACTTTGCTTTTTTCTTTGTATTGTCTACATTTTTAAGTTCTCATAACAGAGAGAGAGAATACACACATGCTATCTTTCACTCTTGTTTGCAATTTCAGAAAAAAGGAATTATGAGACCTCTGAATCCAGAGCTCATCTTTGTTCTGATTCTCACAAAGGTTTATATTCTGGTTACCCTCTTTATACTTAGCACCTTTCTAAAACCCCAAATTTTAAATCTGTCCTCTCTTTAAGACATAATTAGCTACAGCATTTAGGAAGATTTCATGGACTTGCTCTTACTAAAGTAGGCTTGTGTTAAATTTGCTTTTTACATAATTTTTCCTAGGCTCAGTTGTGTAACCTTCCACAAGGTAGTCTACAGAATAAAACTAAATTACTTCCTAGTATTGAGGAGGCATGGAGCCTACCAATCCCCGCAGAGCTTACCTCCAGGCAGGGTGCCATGAACACAGCACAGCAGGTGAGAAGTTGGGTTATGTTCTGCAGGTGCCCAGCTTTAAGGGTTCTTTACAATCGGTAGCTGTCAAGCTTATTTTATTGAGCACAGGAGTGGCTTTTATTAATAAAAAGCCTTTGATTTATTTGCAAAGGGATACTAGATCAATAAGCTCCCTATAATGTGGGAGAAATATGGGGGTACCAATTTAGAACCTTTGTGGATTTTCATGATTTTAAGATATTTCATCTTAAAATAGAAATGCTGCAGTTGTTTAATAATCCCATGAAAGGTACACATTCCTCCATTGATGACCATATGGAAACTGATTTTTCAGTTATTGAGATCATCTTCAGAATATCTACTTGGCCCTTTTAATATGTGTGGGCTGTTAAAATATATAATTTAAAGGAAAGAATTAAGAATATATAGAACCATATTTTTGTCTTCCTTCTGTGATTCTTAGGCTTGTAAACCTCATCATCCAAATACTGAACCTGTACTAGGCCTCACTCAAACACCAATTTCACAGCAATCCTTGCCACTACACATGATTCCTTCTAGCCAAGTAGATGACCTGACCAGTCCTGCCAAGAGGAAAAGAACATCTAGTCCAACAAAGGTATATATTCTGATAAACTAAAGAGCCCCCTACCAAAACTGTATGGAAATATGCATTAAAGTGATGCAGCATGCACAGAATTTGTGCTGTAAATTTTGATCCTTTGGCATCAAGGTGGGGAATGTTTTTAGAAATTTTAAAAACCATTTTCACTGATGCATTGAATCAGGTTACAGTTCAGACAGGAAGTGCATAAGGGCAATGCAGATCAGTGGCACTATGCTGCAATCATAGTTGTATCAGTGAAAAAGTACAATCCTAGTCTGATGATAGAGAGGGAGACAGTTGTGTCATCCTGTCTATTGCCTGTGCTTATATTTAGAATTCAGGTGTTTCGTCATCATGTAATAGTGTTACAGTAGATAAAGTATTCAGTTTTAAAAGTAGTGTACATTTAAGTTAATTGCTTTGCTTATGATATTAGATATCCTTTAACTTTTTCCTCTGGCTACTCTGATACTGTGTGGAAATGGTAGAATGAGACTTGGCATGTTTTAGTATGTTCTTTGTTTTTATTGTTATTCTTGAAACAATGACTAGTTCTTTATAAGAAAGATAAAATCTAGATAGTAAAATTATGTTGACTTTTGATAGTCATGCATTTTAATGTAATGTTTTATCTCAGAATACTTCAGATGTTTGGAGCAGTGGCCATACAGTGTCACATCCTCCTGTACAGCAACAAATTCATTCTTGGTGCTTGACACCACAGAAATTACAGGTAGGTATATTGAAGATCATTTTTGATGCATTTTTTTGTTTGTTTCTTTCTTTCTTTTAAGAAAATAACTCTGGAACATTTTTTTTTTTCACATTTCCAAAATTCAAGGTGAAATATTTCCCAAGTAATTCCCACAGTATAATTCAAGTTGTGCTAATATTTATGGCTTCTTTATGTGAGATAAGTTCTGTAGTAAAACAAATTATCTCTAGCAGAAACTTAACACTTACATTGTATGAATTCTGTAAGTTATTAAGTAAGAACATACAATAATTCATTTTTTTATGAAATTTTAAAAATAGATACACAAATTGCCACACTTGTGTGCCAAGTGAGTTTTGCTACTAGCTGCAATGTGGGGGATATTGAAGGAGGTGTAGAAGTACTGTAGTATCCTTTTTCCTCTGAGGCAGCTTCTTGTATCAAATAGCGTAAACAAACATGCACATTCTAAAAAATGCAATTACTCATGAAATCTGGAACTGCGTTTCCATATTTTGTGTCATCTAATATATGAAATGCTAGATTTTATTTTTTAAATCTTGTTTTGGGTCTTTTTTTGTTGTGATGTTTTGTTGTCTCTTCGGTTCATTAGGGCTTTCAGTGAGCTTCAGCAGAATCCCATATTTTGTATATCAGGCCTAGCTGGAAACTCTTAAACCACATGTCGGAGATACTGCTTTAGATGTAAGGAAAAATAGAAGGGAACACAGTGCAGAGACAGAAGGCATTCTGATTGACTGAGGAGTGTTCCCCTCAGCTCCAATATAGTTCTTCATCTGTTTCTTTATCTGAACAATATTGGCTTTATTATGCTGCATGATTTTTCCCTCCCTTCCATCCTTTCTCACCCAGCTCCCCACCTCTTTGGTCCTTCCTAATCACTCTTTTGTGTCTCTCTCTCATGAATTCATGCATTCTCATTATTTCTCTCTGCTTATTTTATATCCTACTAGTTTTTCCCTGTTTTAGTTTCACCTTTTTTCGGATCCACCTTCCTCTAAGCAGTATCTAAGTAGGCTTCTCTAAGTATGGTATACTGGATTTACTGGCAATAGCTTGACAAGGTTCCAGCATATATGACTAAGAGAGGCAAAAAGATATGATTGAAGAGGAGAGTGAATAAAACCCTTGGTACATCTTCTAAGTCAGCCTTTTAAAAGTGGCATCTCAGAGGCTGGTTGGGTATGTCACGTAACACACACCAAATGGCTCTACTAACAAAAGCACAAGGGGAAAGGGCTGTGGCCACACAGCAGCTTCTGGGGCTGCAACATGCCAGTGGAGGATGGATGAGTGTTGGTTTCACAGAGTTGGTGGGCAGTAGGAGCAACGCTTCCCACAAAGCCTCTGCACCCATAGCACTGGAGAGGAGTGCGGACTTGCCTCTGCTGACGTATGTGCTAGGTCAGTCTTTCTGATTCTTGTTATCCTATTTTTTAAAAAGCAAGATAACAACTGAAGAGCACTGGTTTTGGCTTCTGTGTACCTGGTGCATGGACTCCCGTGGAGACCCTGTTTTCATCTCACAATCATATATATACATATATATATATATATTTGTCTTATTCATTGCAGTCCCATACAGAGGGACTTCAGAATGAAAGCTACTGTTAATCCAGGGAGTTTGGCATGAACTATTTTTAAGACAATGTTGGATTTTTTTTTTTTAGTTGCTGGTTTGCAAATACAGTTGTTCAAAGCAGAGTGAACTACAGTTTTATGTAATGCTCATACTTCCGTTCCATTTATGTATTACTAATACAGCATAAGCAAAGCAAAGGAGACGAGAAGGATGTAGAAAAATAATACATGCAGACCTGAAAGGAAACCTGATTTGTGTTTGCTTTTGGTGGAGCTTGGTTTCCTATGTTTGTTGGTTTTTTTTGTTTGGGGTTTGTTTGAGGTTTTTTTGTTGTGTTGTGTTTGGGTTCTTTTTGGTTTTGTTTTTGGTGGTTTTTTTGGAAAGGATTTACAATGGTGTGAAGTAGCTTAGTATTTAAGAACAATCAAGTAAAATGCCTATATGTCACCTTTCACCTAGCAGAACTTTTGCCCTCCTTTCCACACACACCCATTTCCTTCTCAGTAGTGTTTTTGTGTTCCACGATTTCAGTTAACAGCAGCAACTTACTGGTAGAATGATCAGTTGCAAATGAGTTCATTATAATAACTTAAGATATTGCTCTCTGTTATTAAGTTGTCTAGTTTTCTGTTCATTTTTTTTTTTTAATATATTTCTGGAAAAGTTTTCGTGTGTGACTGTAGGTTGAATTTACTTCATGCTGAACAGTATTAATAAAAGAATAGCACAGTATGAAAAAGTGTTAAAGCATACATAATGACAATAAGAATTCTATATAATCAAACTTGAATGTAGTTTTCTTTTACGGTACCAGTATACTTTAATTTTAGAAAGTCTCTTTAGTTTTAGTAAGTAGTAATAATGTTTGGTTACAGAATATTGTATGGAAAGATGTTTGAGTCTGCAACAGAAATCTCAATCATGTTTTCAGCTTTACAAGTCTTCATGGATAATTTTTAATGTTGTATGCAAGGAAGTTACTAAAAAGAACATGACTCTGAACTGTACTGCTTTTTTTCTCAGCACTTGGAACAGCTGCGTGCAAACCGAAATAATCTAAATCCAGCACAGAAACTTATGCTGGAACAGCTGGAGAGTCAGTTTGTCTTGATGCAGCAACACCAGCAGGTGAGAACAAAAATATTTTTCTCTTCTACAAAACTTTTGTCAGTAGTGCCGTCTATTGTGTTTCTTTAAGTCTGAAGAATTTCTATTGTACAGAGTTCTCATGCCCTTGGCTACCTTACATTAAGTAATTTTTTTTGTTTATAAAGTATAATTGTAGTTTACTGGTTGAAACATGATGGGTTTAGCTGTGTTCTATTATAGGGCTACCAGATAATGTAAGAGTTGAACACATCTAAAAGCAGTCTTGCTTTAAAAATACCTAGCTGTAGTAATCTATATTACATCATATCTCTTCTCATCATTCACTTCTCTCTCTCTCTCTTCGTGTCCAACTTTAGCAGTAAAATACTATCACTCAATCCAAAGACCCTAGAAGAAAAGTGTGCCAGTAGCTTTACCTTGAAATTCACTCAGCGCTTTTGTGAGCATGACAGTCATCTTATTTCTAAAAAGCAACTGTGAAGATCTTACAATCAGTATAAAATTGGAATTGACCAGTGCAATAAAGTACATAAACTTTGTACAATCTTTACATTTTGAATTCTACAGCTAATGTTCTTGTGCTTTGTTCATCTTCCTTTAGATGAGACAAACAGGAGTTGCACAGGTACGATCTACTGGAATTCCTAATGGGCCAACAGCTGATTCATCACTGCCTACAAACTCTGTCTCTGGTCAGCAGCCACAGGTTGCTTTAACCAGAGTGCCTAATGTTGCTCAGCGTGGAATCCGTCCCGCCTGCCCCGGGCAGCCTATGGCTAATGGACCCTTTCCAGCAGGCCCCATTCCCTGCAGCACAGCAAGAACGCTGGGTAGTACAGACACTATTTTGATAGGCAATAATCACATAACAGAAAGTGGAAGTAATGGAAACGTGCCTTACCTGCAGCAAAACGCACTCTCTCTACCTCATAACCGCACAAACCTGACCAGCAGCGCAGAGGAGCCGTGGAAAAACCAACTATCTAACTCCACTCAGGTATACAATTTCATCTTACTCACAGGGTACGCAAAGGAGGCTTGATAAGCAAGTCACCCTTTGAAGTCTCTCGTTTGTAAACACGTTTTCTGTTTCCTGAAGTTGGTGACCTAGATGCAAATAAAACATATACAAGGTTAAACCTGCCCATTGTATTTCAGTGTTAAAAATCTGTGTATGAAATTTAACTACTTTCAGGATAAAGGAAATGATCATAAATCAAGGAGGACAGTTACATACTGCTCAACTGCCTACCTTTGCAGAAAAGTTTCTTTAAGAAGGAATTCTTCTACATCTTTTTGTTGCTTCTTTAATGTTGTCACTTTGTTTTACATGTAGTAGGGATGTGCATATTTCATTGGAAGCTGAATGTCATAGTTGTTTTGGACGTTGCAGTGTCATCATGATGTAATAATTACCCATATTTTGTTTCCATATGACCTTTCAGAATTAATATCTAGCAATCAATCCCACAGTGTTACTTGCAGCAAAATACTATAATGCCAGTAAAGATCCATAGGGATCAAAGTGTGTAAGTAAGGGTGTTTTGTGTATATGTGTAGGTGTGTGTGTGTTAGAACTGAAAGAACTTTTTTTTTTAAAATTTCAGCCTAAGTGTCTTTATTCCAAGACATACCTTGTGGATGTAATGAGGAGTTCTATAGGAAGAGATCCTAATGGTTTAATTCACTTTTACCAGCTGGGTTATACAGCTTGATACAATATTGTTTTCTTCCTTAAAGCTGCATTAATTTCTTGTTTCATTAATATTTCATGTTACTTTAATGCTGAAGAATTGAGAGTGGGCTATGGTACAGATGTACATACCTGCTTAACTGCTCATACACTGCAAGAAAGGCTGAGATAATACTGGAACATGTTGTGTAAAACAATTATTCAAAACTAAACCAGTGTTATGACTTTTTAAAATTTTCCTTTGTATAAGTAGTACTAATTATGTGGTTTATGAGCGTGCATGGCAGGGGAATGTGGAGCCCGTTACCTCACTACGTGTTGCTTGAATTAGACTTCACTTTTCTATTTTCTCTGTATTGTAAAAAAGATATTCTACACTTACTAGAGAGGTATCTGCTTCATACTAGATGTCCATGGTGCTAGTGTCCATAAAGTAGGCAAGTAAGAAATTGAAATAGGAGTTGGCTGCTTTCTGTAGAGATGGTGTTTTCAAAAAGGCT